TTCTGAGTTGAGTAAGTTTGAGTAGTTCTGAGTATGCTTGAGTATTCCTTTGAGTTGAGAAAAGGTAAGTATGTTTCTTTTTTTTTATCAAGATTCAAGCTTATGTTTATGTTTTAGAATTCCCCTTACATGCTCGTACATTCCATGTACTAAGCCATTTGGCCTGCATCTTCTCATGATGCAGACACATGTATTCAGGATCATCAACAGGAGATTCGTTGATACATCCGGGAGTTCGAGTTAGCTATGGTGAGCCTCCTTGCTTTCGGAGGATTTCATTTAACTTTCAGTTATATCAGTTGTTAGGAGGTCGTAGGTCTTGTCCCGATTTCCATCTTTATTAGTTAGATGCTTCATAGATAGACAGTGGAGTTTCAGAAGTCTTTTCATTTATTTTGTTAAATGTTTTGAAGACTAAAGATGCCTTTTTATGGCGAGTTGTATATATTCTATTATACAGAGTTTTCTTTTGAGTTAAAGATTTGTAAAGTTGAGTTCATGAACTTTTATTTCAGTTTTAAGCTTTTGCATGCTTAAGTTAGTCTTTCGCTTGTAGTTAGCCAGGATGAGGGTTCGCTTGGGAACCAACAATGGTTCTTGAGTGCCGGCCACGTCCAGGGTGGGTCGTGACAATAACCTTTATGAAAAATCATTTATTCTTGAAAGAACATGACTCTTATGAAGAGTAATCTCTTAAGTTCTATAAATATAACGATTCTCTAGAAGTAGCCTAAGAAAAATTTGCATGTATAAACAAAGGGTTTTTTGTATCTTTGAAGAGAATTGTTTGTATTTACCTCAATATGTTTATGAGCAATATATCTTTAAAGAAAGTGATTACACGCCTCAAAACTATTTTCTTCTTCAATTATATTTCCTACTATTTTTTCTAACAGTTCCATGTTACAAACTACATTAAAAAAACAATCAAACCTAAAATTGTATCTTTAAGTTAGAGAAGAATCAATAAAATAATGAGTAAAATACAAATATTAGGGATGAGTGTTGATCAAATAAAAGAAGCATGATTATTGTAGACAGGAAAGCAAGGATGGGTCATATGTAAGAACCATAATATAAAACCTATGATGGCAAATATATGTGACCATTAAAGTAGGCTTAGTGAGTTGATGGCAAATATATGTGACCATTAAAGTAGGCTTAGTGAGTTGTTCAATTTTTTTAAAATCTAATCGGGTCACCCTTCTAATGAGTTGCTTTATGCCTTTCAATAAGATTGGGTCAATGTTATCATGAATTAATAGTTATTTAGCACCTCACTTAAATAAATCTTTAATATTTCCGATATAATTATTGGGTGGGTTACTTGTCTTTAATTATTTTTTTTGGTCTCACTTAGTGTGTCCACGTCAATTAAATTTGATTTGCGCACTACAGGGCTCATTTGGGTTAGGACTCGAACTTGAAACCTTTGGTTAAAGGTGGAAGTGGAACCATAGGCGAATCCAAAATTTAAAGACTTCGGATGCACTAATATTACCTTTTTACTTAGAATAAAAACAGTGAAAAAGGGCTTCAATTAGATTCAAACCCCGGTCTCACGAATAGTTCCTCTACCTTGTACCAACAACACAAGGGCACTTATATGCTTCTCTAGGATGCATTGCTAATTATATTATAATTTCTTTCGGTTTTTCAATATAGATATACATATATACACATGATTTTTTTCGAAGTTAACGAGTGCACGTGCACCCAAATTTACAAGTGTGAATCCCCTCTAGGTGGAACAGTTCCACCACTGCACCACAAGACATGTTGGTTATTTGTTTTAAATTTTGCTGTTGCATCTTTACTTGCCTTAGCCCTTATTACATGTGAAATTTTCTATTCCGATCAAAACAAGAAATAATTTCTTACACATCATAATAACTCTTCAATTTTTACATCTTCTCCCTTACGTTAAAAATGATTTAACACTATTGATGTTTGCCGTTTTGACCTTTGACTATCAATACAATTACAGTATTTGTTTGCTCAAATAAATTGTTGTTTGCCACAAATTTGATCCTCATAAGTAAATGACTTAAAACGGCAAACAGCAAATGAGTTGAGCTTGTGTCACCGACCATAAATAAATTCCACATTTACTACCCTTAATCAATTTATACTACCAAATAGAATGTGTAACCGAACAACAATATACTATTAAATTCCCCAATTTAAGAGGCACCGCTGCAAATACTATTTTCCGAAAATTCTAATTTTCGTCCTTACTGCTCAGTGCTCACCATATATAAATCTTTACTAATTACTCCATCCGTTAATTTTTACTTGTCACTTATTTTTAAAATATTTTTTTCTTTTTACTTATTATGGCATGGAAAAATCTTTTTGGCCAGAAAATTTGGTCAGAATTTGACCAAAATGGTAAAATAACATATTTCACACTATATTATTTTACCTTTTTGAACATTTTTACCCTTTTAACTTTAATACCTTTTCATTAAAAATAGAAAAAAGATCAGTTTATTTTAAAATAAAAAAAATATTATAGACTTTTAATTTTTTGGCCAAATTTTCTTGTCATTTAGCATTGCCCTTTTGGCATATCAAAATAATTGTTTTCTTCCATGTTTTATCCTCATTATTAAATACTTATTCTTCAAATCATTTTCCAAGACATAATACTAAACATCATTTAATACGGATAGTTTGGTAAAAATACTTATATCAAAAATTTTATTTTTCTTAATAAGTGTGCCAAGTCAATTAGTGATAAGTAAAAATGAATGGATGGAATAGCTTCTCTAAGCTTGTCATAACAACCATGGTTATTTTCCTAAATTATTAAATTTCCAATTATGAGTCCGTGGAATTTTCAATTGACTGTTAAGCATATTTAAATCGAGAAAATTATGCCACAATTTTTATTTAGACATCCCTTCGGAAATTATGCATTTTTACCATCATATTCTTGTTTATTATTTAATCATTTCTATTTAACCTCTATTAATTAATGAAAAGTGTGGAAAATTTCAAATTCTCCAACAAGTATCATGATTTTTTATAAAAATAAATAAATATAAATTTTGACTCATATATTTATATTTTATAATAAAAAGATTCGTTATTTCAAGTGTTGTGAAAAAAGACTCATACTCAGCCTATCATGTATTAAAGAATAATTAGTTACTACTATTACTGACTAGTGAATTATTATATATTTAGGTATATTTGAAAATTTAAATTACATACATTTATTTATAAAATAAAAATAGAAAGATTAGTGATTGATCAATGTGACACATTAGGATAGTAAAATTGTATAAGAATTGTGAAAATTTTGATTCTTTTCACACCTTATAGGATTTCCATATTTATGAAAAAAAATACAATTCAAAATCCAAATTGTATATCTAAAACTTTAATTTCATATCAATTTTATTTTTCATTATAATTTTAAAACATTGTTTCATATCGCATGTCCAAATAGGTTATCAATCAACATTTCTTTCGTCAATTTTTACTTCCAAAAATAAAATTGAAAAAATAAACTCAATTATGTATTATTTTAAAAAAAAATTAAATATTGTGGATATTTATTTTTAGTAAAAAAATGATAAAGTGTCGGTTAAGGGATCAGGCGCAATTAATTATCCCTAATGGGGCTGAAAATTGATTACAGGTGTAAACATCTTAGAGAGACCGCCTTAATTGACTAATTTTAACAACTATTCCCCTCTACTTTAATTTGTTTTTTCTTATTTTTATTTTTAGTTCATGATAAAAAATTTAGCAACCTTTTAATTATAATTTTAACTTATAGTGTTTAAAATTAAAAAAAATTCTTTATTTTTAAAAAAAATTGTGCCAAATTAAAACTCTCTTTCCATTCAGTTTTACTTGACACGTTCATTAAAAATCAATTATTGACATAAATATTTTATCATATCGTCTATATTAATTGATTTTTAGTATTAATCATAGTCTTGAAAAATTATTTGGAGAATAAAATATTTAATACTAAGGTAAAATATAATTTTAAAAATCTTTTTTAATGTATTGAAAAGAATGAATAAAAAAAAATATTTTTAAAATAATAACAAATATAAATGAAGGAACAAAATAGACAAGAAAAATTAAAATGAAAGGAGTACGAATTTTGAAAGTCAATTTCCATCTAATTCTGCCCAACGTGTAGGAATTAGTCGTCTAAAGCGAAAAAACATTAAAATCGTGGACCACTTTTTGGGTTCGGTACGTCTTTCTAGACTTCCTACTCAATAAAATTTGGCTAATGTGAATTGAATAAAAATATTCTTGGATAAAAATGTTTATCTTTGTTTTTTTTTTCCTTTTATTCAGCACAAGCTGCAACAATCATAAATATTTATTCTCCCGTTTTAAAAAAAATGATGTACTTTCTTTTGTTAGTTTATTTTATCTAAAAATAACCTTTTTTTTTGCAATATTTTAATTTTAATTTTTACATAAAATGTTTAAAGCCATAAGATAAAACATTTTAATATATTTGACCAACTTTAATTTAGAACTACAAGATTGAAAAATAATTTTCATTTTTTGAACTCCATACCAGTCAAACTAAACCATTTTTCATTTTAAAAGGGTAGAAGTATTATTTAGACTTTGATGAAACTTATGTTTACCACTCTGGAAGCTGTGAAAATCCTCCACTTTTAACGACCAAGTCTTGGTTTGAGCTTTCAGAACAAGATGCTTTCTTTTTGTGCATTACCAAATGCATAGCTTTTGTTAAGGGGTGTCCAACTTTAAATATATATCATTTAAATGTAAAATTTTGATATATATATACAACCTAATATTCCGATAGGGTGGCTATAGCTACGCCCTTGATTCCTTCCGGTTAGCAACAGTAGCAATCTTGTGGGAAAAAAGAATTTCTTGTACAACTTTGTCAGCAATTGGCAGCTTACAGATTTCCTTAGACATGATGTTAGAATGAAGAATCTACTCTTTACACTATTAACAAAATAATCACACTTTTTAATTAGCCATAAACAAAGAATGAGAGAGTGGAATTATCAATCAGAAACAAAGGAAATTGGACCACTAGAGATGCTGCCATGGCTATCATCAAATGCAGCCAAAGCTCTCTCTAAATTAGAAACAATATCAGATATGGTTGGTCTGTCTCTCCCTTCCAAATGTACACAATGCATTGCAGTATACGCCACCAATTCCACTGCTTCTACTTCTTCACTTGCCTCTGCTGTCCCTACTCTCTTATCCAAAATCTTGTTCAACTCTCCAGCCATAATTGCTGGTACTCCATAGTCCACCACACTCATTGGTGCACCTCCGTTCTCTTCGCTCTTGAATATCGCTCTCTTTCCTGTCAAAAGTTCTAGCAATACCACTCCAAGTCCATATACATCGCTCTTTGCTGTCAACACATTTAGACCATAGTACTCGGGATCAATGTACCCAACTGTCCCAGCAGCCTTCATTGGCCTGCTGCTGTAATTGCGATTACTCTCTGGCCCCATTAACGATAATCCAAAATCAGACACTCTTGCAATCCAGTTTGCATCAATCAAGATGTTGGATGACTTGATGTCCCTATGAATTATAGGCGGAACTGCATAATTGTGAAGGTATTCAATGCCTCGTGCAGCGTCTAAAGCAATCTTGATCCTCATTTTCCAAGAATTAATTATACTACTTCTCTTCTCCTCATTGTTGTTATCATGTAAATGATCAAAAAGTGCTCCATTCTTCATGTACTCGTAAACCAAAAGCCTTTCATCCCTTTCTTCGCAATAACCAACAAGTCTAACTAAATGTTTGTGATGTAGCCGAGACAAGAAAGCTAATTCTGAGTCAAATGCACTTTCTTTCTCCTGAAATTTCTTTGTTCTTGTACCCGTTTCTCCACGTTTGATGGCAACCTCACGACCATCCGGTAATTTGCCCTTGTAAACCACCCCAAAACTACCAGCACCAATCTTGTTCTCTAGAGAAAAATTGTTAGTAGCTGCAGCAAGGTCGGTAAACAGAAATTCCTCTGCCCTGTCTGCGTGTTTAGAAGAAGTTCCACTCCGTTGACGCCTCATCAACCGCGACCCTTGACGCCTAAGAGTTGATGATCTTGAAATAGGACCACTACTGGATAATTGCCCACCATTAGAAGTAGCAGTAATAGTAGGTTGAACTGAATTATGTACTTTCTTCTTTCCAAAACAACCACCAGCCCAAAGAAAATAAATTATACTGCAAATCCCTGCCAAAGTGCCCACTGATCCAACAATAGCAAAAGCTAATAAACCTCTACTTAGCCTTTTAGAAGGCGAAGAAGGTGCCAATGGCGGTGGTGCTGGTGGTGGTGGTAGTGAAGTAGGTGGTACTAAAATTGAGAAATCACAAGGCCTACAAATATTACCATTGCCAAAACAGAGACTTTGAGACTGCGGATATATACCACAACTACAATTACTTTGTACACACGGACCTGGAAGAATCATCGGTACAGGAAGGGCAGCCCCTTGAGGAACCATCTTACTAGTCCAACCTGGCCCCCAACACACCACTGAAAAATTGTTTGTGGTTAATCCACACGTAAAATCTAACCCAGCTGAAACTGATTCAAAAAAATATCCTTCTGTTACATTACTTGAAAATACACCATTTCCGCCCCAACAAACTACCGTGCGATTCACCCTACGAATTCCACAAGTATGATTAATCCCCAAAGCTAATCCAAAATACTCGTAAGACAAATTAGAAGGAACATCAAGCTGACCGTTTGTGTTATCACCTCTGCAAATTAAAAATCCGGTAGCGTTCACCCCACAAGCGTGCCTTCCGCCGGCATATATATTCATCATCGTTTCATTACGGAACTCAGATTGGATAGTTGAAGCGATATCACTATTTCCCCAACAGACAACCCTGTTTGAACTTTCCAAAACTCCGCAAGAAAATTCAGACCCAGATGAGATTGATATAAATTGTGATGACCCATTTGGCTGTTCACTCAAATCGCCTCTCCAGCAGGTAACATTTTTTGTACTGTTGGTTATGCCACATATTTTGTCGCCACCCATTGTAACGGTTGTTAACAAGTTTGAGTTGCTGAAATACAGTCGTTTGGGGACGAAACTCGTGTTCCAGAAAAGGAGAGAAAATCCACCGGAGCGAACGGCGGTGAAGCCGTCGAGGCCGCCGGCGATGAAGTCGAACGAAACGTTAGGTGAAATTGGTGTAGCCGTAGATTGATTGTCTTTCCAACATTGGATTGTTTGTATTGGTTGGTTAGCAACTATGCCGCAGATAGTAGCGGAGCCTCCATAGACGACGGCAAGAGTGGTGGCGGAGCCACCTAAGGCTTGAACATAAATGAAGAGGTTTACTAGGGTCAAAACGACGGCGACGGTGGCTGAGGGCGTCGTCATCTAAGTATTTTTGACAATTCCTCCGTCATCTGTGTCTGTAGAGAGAGAAAATTTAGCTGTTTGTTGAAAAGGCTAAAAGCTAAAAAACAGTGAAGAGAGAGCTAAAAGAGATGGTACTTGCTGGATTTTCTACATCGCACGTGGCTGTGTAGGTCCTTTGTAGCTGAATTTCATCGAACACGACAACTCACAATGCACACGTAATTTTTTATTAGGATTAGAGGGGTTTGGCGAATGTTGACCGGAGGCTAAGTACAATTTTCATTTCTCTTTTACTTTTCTCGTTGGGTAGGATTAGGGTAAATACATGGATTTGGTAATAATCAAGATAAGGAATTTAAATTTGATAGATAAATATTAAAGGGAGAATAATACATATTAATATTAAATATTGAGTGAAAATACGTTTTTAGCGTAGAATTAGTTAAATAATTGTAATTTTCAAGTTTGAAATTCTGAATATACGACTGACTTAAGACTTGGTCTCAAATGAGATGAATTTGTGGCTGCGAAATGAGCTTGTAGAAAATGTGGATAGTTGTTGCTTTGACCTAATTTTTAAAAAATATTAGGATATATAGATAAGTTCGTTTTATGCAAAATAGAGAATGTTTGGGTAAAAATATTACAACTTATTCAATCATCCTACGAGCATAATTTTATTTATTTGTAATTAATTCAAACTTATGATTGTCAATTTACAAAATTATTTGATTTGATCAAGAGTACTTTTATTCCTAATATTTTTGTAACTTTACCGAAAAAAAGAAAGAAGAAGTCACATTTTGTTCTATTTATTTCGATCATTTTCTTGTCAAACATACCGATTACTAATTTATAGTTTCAATACTTATATTTAAACTTTAACCACATAATTATTTGTCTATGAATTAATTTCAAAAGATTTAATCCATGAGATGAAAATGAAATCCTTTCTACGAAAAAAAATAAGGAAGGACGATAATTTTGGTTGTGGAAAGGAAAACAATCACTTAATTGACGTGATTATATCTCTTTACCAAATAGGACTCATTCATACGAACAACACTAGGAGTTCATGCTATCATTACCGCTATGCAACTCAAACAAAAATTCAAACAATTTCATCATTATACAAGCAAGCAGGTAATACAATGGATTCAACTCATCTGTATGTATGTCGAATTTTCATGCTGAAACGTATATTTGATTTGCATTGATTCGTGTTTTTGATTTGCATTCATTTAGATGAAGAACTTGAAAAAACAGAGTAATTGAACTAATTTGTATATGTAATTGTATAAATTCTCCATTAATAATTGGAGTTTCATTCGAATAGTTGTTTGCAATTATATTCTAATAGATCGAGAATTAACTAATTATTCTTGATTGTATAATTACTCCATTGGTAATTGGAGTTTTGGTTGAAGAATTTGTTTTCAGTTGTATTTGAATTGATCGAGAGAGACGACTTGATATCTGCAATTTCAGTACGTAAATGTATAAAAGTAGAAATCAATTGAATAATCTACTGTAGTTAATGTCAAATTGTATACATCCACAATTGTATAAATCAGTTGAATATGTATAACACTTCAAATGCAAACACTTCATAAACAAAATCAGTTGAGTACGTATAATTACTTCATATAGAAAATCAGTTGAATACGTATAACACTTCAAATACAAACACTTCATAAACAAAATCAGTTGAATACATATAACACTTCAAATACAAACACTTCATATACAAAATTAGTTAAATACGTATAACACTTCATATACAAAATTAGTTGAATACGTATAACACTTCAAATACAAAAACTTCATATACAAAATCAGTTGAATACATATAAGCAGTTGAATATGTATAAACAGTTGAATACGTATAAACAATTTTATACAAAAATTGTTGGTTGTATATGTATAAAAGATGAAAAACAAATTGGGAAATCGTCCATTTTTGTTTGATTAAATTATATACCTCTCGTGACTCTCCTAGAGGATGTATCTTCATCCATAATCCAACTAAAAATCTAAAAAATCAAAAGAAATCTCAGTGATATACAAATACAAATCGGAAAATGATGAAATCACAAAAAAAATGTAAAGAGAATTTAACTGTAAAAAACTTACATATAAATTAAGAATCACGATTGGGAGGGAATAAGTGAAAATGTCAAAATTTGAAATAAATTTTAATTGAGAGAATAAAGGAGAAAATAAGGGAAAGTGATTGAAGAGAGAGAATGGGCTCATCTGTATTTAAGGAAAAGAGTACACGATTATACAAATAAGAAGAATTGAAAATCGTATTTACCGAGATTAAATGGTTGTGAATGATAATATAAACAAACATTAGCTATGGTAGATAATTAAGTAGTATAAGTTTGTTTAATTACGTGATTTTCCCAAAAAAAAAAACCAAAGCCCAATCCATAAACATAACCACCAGCCTCTATATCATATTCCTAAAAAATAAATTTTTCATTTTGAGCTCCCATTTTTCTCTTTCAAGTTGCCGCTTGAGTTTCTCCCAATTTAGCCTTCCGTTTCCTCCTGATGTGGGCCATCAATGCCAATTATAATGATGATACAACATTTCTTTCTCAGCTCACAGGAGTAATTTCTTTCTTTATCATTTGTGCTTCTTCTTCTGCAGAGGTGTATTCCAGCGGATGCAGTCTCTAATATTGAGTTGACAAAGGTGCCAAGTCTTGTGAGCTTCGAAAGTTACTTTATGTAAACTCCTAAACTCTCCCTTGTACTTTCTTTTCCTTTTTTTTAATTTTTATCTTGCCTCTTTTTCTACTGAAGCAGTGTAGATATCAAAATGCTCCTCAACTCATTCCTTGCAAAGTTCTTTCTCAGTCACAGTACCAAATTTTTCCATTTGACTTCAAGACCCTCTCTTTTTGTTGGTATATTTTTTTGTAAGTTGACGTAGCTTAGAACTCACAGTTATGTAAGCCCTATAGTAGTACAAACTATTTATGTAAATAACATATATGTGAGACCTACTGATGCTTTTAATCATGTATATGTGTGTTCTCATGCTAATGTTCATCAGTCCTTATCCTTCTTGTTTTGATCCTCAACGTTGGTATTTGAGCCTTATTTTCATTTAGAATATGTCTCCTCTTCACTAATAATTGGTTAAGATTCTAAAATGATTGTTTATTTCATTTGCCAACTTGTTTACTAATTTATTTGTCTCCCTAGACACATGAATAATGCTTCATTGTGTTAGTGTTAATAGTTTTTAAATTTCCTTTTTGATCTATGTCTGTTGCCATGGTATCTTCCATTCCTTTTAATCATTTTATGAGAGTCCGTGAGTCTGATTTCACCATCATCTTTTGAATGTTGTTAATATTTGAGAGCAATTAGAATGGCTTGTGCTTCTGTCTCTGTATTAGTCCCATGCCCGATCTTCTTAGCTTTTGTATGCATTAGATTTCTCAAGTCATCTCTCACGCAAAATATATATACACTCTCTCACTGATTGCCTCTACAAGTTCCTATTGCATTTTACCCTTTCTTCTTGTGGCATCTCCCATCTCAAACGATGAGTTAGTCTAAGAATTAATTGCACCGAATGAATTTTGACAAACTATAGTGATTGAATCCACACCCTCTAGTAAATCATAAAGTCAAATAAAAAATGTACAAGCCATGATAAGAAATAGCTTCCAGTTCACTTCTTCCATCATTTTTTAAATCCTTTCCAATCTTCCTTTGCCAAATGAAATTTTTTAGTTGTCTCTATTGTAAGAAGTGTTACACATTACTCAAATTCAAACTAAAACATGACATTTTTCCTTAAGAAAGTTGCCTTTCAATCTATCATAAGGAAAGACCAACCCGATTGGACACAAAAATAAAAGACTCAAGAAAAAGAAAAATAAATTTTGTTCCTTGGAAAAAACTATGGTATGAAGAAAACCCTTGGAGTTCATTTAACTATATAATATTCACAACGATGATTTTAAATAGTGATCTCCTAAATTTATTGAGAGAACAAGGACTATTAAATGCACTAAGTGTATTAAGAACGAGTAATAAGACAATAAAGAAATGTAAAATCAGCCCAGCTAAAAGCAATAGTAACCACAATCATAGGATAAAGTCTGATGATGCCACAAATTTAAAACTTTACATTCCCATACTACATCATCTGATTCAATACACCATTCAAACTAAATTTCCAAATTCCACATACCCACCCCCAATCATCTAATTTAATACACCATTCAAACTAAAATTTCCAAATTCCATAAACCCACCCCCAATCTAAAAGACAAGCAATGTCCTCAAAGCTTGAGGATAAAAGCGCAAGAGCACTCCCTGACATTAAATGCGTAGAGGTTGCCTGGGGAATGCAAGCATGAACTGAATCAATTACAACTTCACGTCGGATGGAATCGTAGGGTCAATGGACAACTCAATTATACTTGATGAAGATGCCACTTCCCACCTATCCGACAGAGTCATTATGCAAGGATAGGAAAAATGAGGGGTAGGCCCCACGAAGAATGCCCTGAGGTGGTGAATCCCTTTGATGAGTAGTTGTGCATCACAATATTTCTACTGTTATTCTCTCCCTAGACTTGGATTCAAAGGTATCATAATCACAAACTTACCAATCCCCCAGAAGGCTCGAAGCTGGGTTCGGAGATTCCAATTCACTAGCTGGGAGATTCAGATTTAATTCTCGAGGAGGAGGAGGTGGTGTTGCGTCTCTTGGCCTTCGCATCAATGCAACTTCTCTCTCTAAGATGTCAACTTTTTTGCAAACACCACTCATTATTTTAGTTATCGACTTCATAGAAGTCTTGAGCGCTCTATGAATGAAAGAGGGTGAATTGTTGCCAACTTTGACAATTGGTCTCTATGATATCCGTTCATAGCAGTCAACTTGAAAAATCCTTGAGCAGACGGTGTTGATGTTGTGATGGGTGGTGGAAGCATTTCTAACACTTGTGGTGAATCACTTGGGGATGAAGAGGTTGCCCTCCTCTTTTTAACCCTTGGTGCATATTTGTCCATGTTATTAACCATGGTGATCATG